TTAAGGCGATTCTGGCCTCTCTTACTTGTCATTTGCAGTAGATTTAGTACCGAATAATACCAAATATTTGCAAATGGATATCAATACATAGTAAAGGTGCTGAGGAACCGGTCATTTTTAAAATTGTTAGGGTGTCGGGTCCCCATATTTTTTTCAATACGCTTGGTAGTCTCTAAAATTGCTCTATTTATTCCCATATTTTCCATCTTTTCACTCTACCTTTTATCTGACAGGCTTCGCACTATCCAGTCGATCTCATGCTTGACTTGATTCGAAGATTTGAGCCGCCCAATCGGCAACAGCGTTGGGACAGTCCGCTATTTGTCTATTGTCCCGCCGGTTCGGCTAGATCTTCTGTAACTGACCGACCCACAGAACCTGAGTATTTCGACGGGGCGACTACATCTGATATATTGTCATCTACGCCAACCACAATGGCATCATTGTCTTTCGAGCCTGATGATGTTGACGAGGCGATCACTCTTCAGACTGAGACTTCAACGAATTGCGGTGATGCCTTGTTCGAGTCGACCGAGATCAGTCATTTAGCTGGACTTCTTTATGATCGTCTGGCAGGTGCTTCGACTGTTTCCGTCCGTCCGAACCGGGCCACCTTAGCACCAACTCATTGCGGCACCAATTTTTTGCAGGTAGAGAAATAGTTGAAAAATTTTAAAGACGGTTTGTCTGTCTACATGCCGATATCGGGTTCTAATGGAGCGTGTCTCAAAACACACCTAAAATGTCCATCACCTAAAGACTTCTTGAAGCCGAATTCCTGCATCATGGCTGCCTAATTTTAATTCATACTAATAATCCTTGATCTGCAGTTTATTCAGCTGATCGAATTTACTGATAGCATTTTAATTCAGTGACCATAGTTTCGTTTGATGATTTTTAAAATTCATTTTATTTATTAAGAATCGTCGTAACGTCATAGAATAATAACTAAGATACGGAGAGAAACTGCGTTTCGATTAATCTCCTGATATAACATTATTAGGGGGACTTTCATTTCGTATGAAAGTGCATGAAGGGATTTGTAGGCCGATCTCACCAGAAGAGTACGGATGAATCCTGTTGTACTTCAGCCATTTGGCTTTAATACGACTCAGTTCACAAGACCTCCTCCCTCGTTTCGGCTGAAAACGGGCTGACCTCTCGTCCATCATACGATGGACCTCATCAGAGCTGGGTCTTATTCCTTTAAAAGAAGGACTCGACGGATACATGATAAAAAGCTCCGGAACTGTAGAATTATAATTAGGTCGAGAAACTTTGCGCCTA